TTTTTATGTGATTAAAAATGCTGTCCTAGAAAGGAGTTGCTGTTTTCTGATAGGTTTGGGAAACTGATATTTCGATCCTGCATCCTGTTTGGAATATATACATTAATTTCCCAAGAAATATACAGCATGAAGATTCATGCTGCCCTTTGACAGTACTCCTCCATGCTTCTACATTGTAAGCGAATCTTTGGCATTCAGGAGCTGTTAACCTAACACAATGAGCAAATGCTTTTGGGATTCCCTCTCTGAATTAGTGTCTGTTCCAAGCACCAAAAAAACGTATTTTTTTCATGTATATAAGAAGTTTTATTGGCCCATGGGAACTGAATGTACGTCTTAGAGATTATAGCACTGAATAAATATGAAAATGAGATATCCACTGGTAATTGAGAAGGCAATAGAAGAAACAGCAGCAATTATAAAGACCTATTCACAAAGTTTTAGAACTTATAATTTTTATTTAAATAAGCAGACTTTCATTCAGTCTTATTCACTGTTGTACAAAAAGCAGGGACAAATACAAATTAGTATGATGAAGTTTCCTTTCTAGTTTATATTGTTTTCATTAGCAGTGTATCAAAGAGTCAAGCAAATCCAAATTAATTTTCAGAAATTTGAGATTCTCCCTCTCCCTTCAGGGTTTTTTGATTGAGAGCTCTTGATTAGAAATGGTTGTCAATTCCCAGTTCATGCAAATCTTACTGGTGCTTCAGGTTAACAGTGATGCTGTTCTCTTCCTCTCAGTAGCAAATCTCATTACTATGTTGTGATGATAGGAGAATACCTTTCTCACCTGATCCATTACAGTATGGTTTTTAGCTCTTGCCATGCAATATGTAAAGCAAGATATACTCTGTGCTACCACTTCTTTTCCTCCTAATACGGTCAAAAAATAAACTGTCCCTTCCACTGTCTTTTCCAATTCACTGTTATCTAAGAAAAACACTGTTTTTCATTCTGTTCCAAGGAAAAGAGAAAAAAAAGTCTTCAGTATAGATACGGTGCAGAAAATGAAGCTCCCAAACTGTTGAATAAATTGTGTGTTTCTCTTCCTGCAACTTTCAATGTGATCACGGATGGGGTATGTTAGATCATTTTGATATTGTGTCACCACTGTAGTTGTAGCTTGTGTGTTCTGCTTGTTGGAAGAGATCAGAAGTCGCAAGTGTGCAGGGATTATGCATTATGTAGAAGAAGGAACGGGGGAAGATGGGAAAACAACTAAGCAAACTTTTTAGCCTGTCTTTATTAGCATTGAGAGTTGGTAATTCTCATTCTGTGCCCCACAGCTGGAGTTAGGCCCTAGCTTAACTATGCTATGTTAATGCTAATTTTCAGCTACTTAGTAACACCTAACGTAAACCCACCACAAATTTCTATAATTTTATTCTTGTTCTTGCTTGTTTTAGTACTTGAATAGTAATTTATCAGCTTCTGAAGTGTCAGATGAATGCGATGGAAGCTGAGAAAATTTACAGCAAAAACAACTGTAACTTCTTAATGCAGGATAACTGAAAATACTTTTGACCATACAGATCAGATATAAATATAGAGCTGAAGACAAACCTGCTTTGTTGTGCTGGCGCTTGAGGGTGGCGTGGACTATGACTTCCAGGCCAAGTGACCTGAGACTTGGGACACCTCCAGAATGAAAAAGCTATCTTTTTAAAGTAATAGTCTCCTACTGTGTTCCTGCTAATATTTGCAACCACCTACACTTTGTTTTCTGCAGCTCAGAGTTACAGTAGCAATTAAAAGTAATTTCTATAGATTTTTTTTCTTAGAGGCAAAGAGAGAAGAGCAACTGGTCTTTTTTTCAAGCTTAGACTCTTTATTATATGACTTGATAGTTTTTCTTCCTCTTCTATAATAATAACTCTTGTAGTATAAAAATGTTATATGAAATTGAGCTTTCTTAAGAAAAAGAGGGAGGTGAGGAGGGAGGAATTTCTAGCTGCCTAACTGTGGGGATAATTAGGAAGGCGTAGGCATTACAGGGGATATTTGTGCTGTCTCATTTGGAAACTGAGAAAGGTATTTTACGTTGGCGCTTCAGAGGGGATTCCAGACCTACCTTCTGTGGGCTCCATGCAGGGAGCAAAGACACACAGTGCCAGCGTTCTATTTATCTGTTGTCAGCTACAGGAATGAATATCTTCTTAAGATTCAAAAACCCTCCCCACCCCAACCCACTCCAAAACACTGTGACATATAATGTTTGTAGGTGGAGAAGGAGAAAACATCTGGATTGTGATCACAAAATCTTGCAGCAGTTTGGTTTCCATTCTTCAGTTGTTCCTTTCCAGTTTATTTTGGCAACACTGAAAATTTAAGTCTGACTTTTCTACTGCTTCTTTTTGAGGCTTTTCGTTATCTGAAGTAGTTCTCAGCAAGAAATACTAGTGACATCTTCAGGATTATAAAAGAAGTATTCTTGATTTCATTATTTACTGTAAATTTTGGTAGGCGATGCCTCTTCTCTGATACTTCTGATTAATATTGTCATGGAGAAGATTTGGCATTTATTCACCTTCCAAACCTTTGAATGTGTAGCTCCAAAATAGAACACAGACACTTTGATACTGCTTTACAGGGATAAGATAATCAACCAAGAATTCATTGGTGTTTTTTTCTGGAATTCATTCTTACCAAGGATGGTGACTTGTGAAATAACCCTTGAAGTACACATCTGCCCTATACAGGCTATCATGGCTTTGCTGTAGGCAGTTTCTTACTGGCGTGGTATAACCTTATTTCCATAGCAGAATGAACTACAGTCTAATGCAGAAAGTGTTTATTTCTGACTGTCTTCTGTGGAATGGAAAACATTCCCTTTTGAAGAATGCAAACTTCTGTAATGAACTTACATTCATTAGATAATACAGAAAAGCTCCTGAATTCTAAATCTTCCATTGCTTATCTGGGATTTTTATTTTATTATCTTGTTGTGCTAAACTAGAAGCAAAATTTAGAACCAATAAATACTTAATGACATTAAGAACAACCTTAACTGGGAGTATTTGTGTTCCCTTAACAGAATCTGGTTCTGCAATTACTGCTTCCTGTATTGGTTTGGGGAACTCTACAACACCTCCACCCGGACAGGCAGGAAAACCAGTGCCAGGATACAATGGTAAGACTGTGCTAAAAATGCTACTAGGAAATAATATTGCTTATATTCCTAAGTAAGTGCTCTTTAATTTTCATATCTCGTAGAAAAAGCAAATGACTGGCTTACTAACACATTTTTCTCCTTCCTGTAACAGGAAGCTCTGCCTTTTTCTGTGTTGGGGAATGTGATTATGAATAAGAAATTCAGAGTTCTGTTCAAGAAAATTGATCACATATTGCTGCCTATACTATGTGAAAGGGCTAGCACATACTTCTACACTGGATATAACAAAGACATGAAAAAAATACTATGCTTTAAGGCTTTATCTACAGTTGCACTATTTTAAATGAGAGCAGCAGTAAAATTTGTATTGGCAAATTAGGAAGAAAAATGTTACTAATACCCATCAGCAAAAGAGGAAATGATAACTAGTCAAATAGTTGCTATAACTTGTACTTGGAATGTTCTGTTATACCTGTGTTTTCAATTTTCAGGGCCTAAATAGTTTTGATTTGTGAGGTGTACATCGAATAATTATGTCTCAGAGACATATTGATTAGATTGATTGGATTTTCCTTTGGTCCTACAGTTTTATGTAAGAAGTATTCTGAAGTGCATAAAGAAAATTCTTACTGAGGTCTATGTCTTTCATGAATATGTCATAGTGAGATAACAAGCAGCTTGGCAAGGATATAGATCTTGTATTTGAACCCATCTCATACTTTTTAAAAGAAAATCAGTCAGTTTTCTGCCTTTTTGTACAGGTATATACAGCTCATTTGAGAGAGCTGTTAAGCATGTTATCTTTCAGTGCTTGTGGAGCATTTTTATTTCCAGCTGGGAGAAATGGTAGGCTATGGGCCGTCATTAAAAGGATGAGCACTCATTGTCTGGAAGGTTTTTGCATGCAGAGGATGCAAACCACAGGATTAAGAATGCAAAATTTTTTTTCATACCTGGGAACCCTGACTTTGACACAGTTTTCAGGAAAAAAAATTACATTAAAGATCAAAACATCTCCAGGAAAAGTGCTCACATCATTGGGCAGAAAGAAGTAAGGTGGTTTTTTTCTTCTAATACATAGAAGTGGAAGTGAACACTAAAGAAAATAAACATTTTCAGCAGCTCTGGGTTTTGGCATTTACAGTTATGGCATGAAGACAAGCAGTAGCTTAAAACCAACATTAAAACAAAGCTGTGAAGTTTGTCCAGAGTTGTAATAAATAGAGAAGAATGGTAGGTTGAAATTGCATCGCACGTGCTACCAGATGGTCATCAGGCCTAGAAAAGAGTATGAGTAGTAAGAATATAAAAATTGCCTACGAATTTTTTGGAACATCTGGCCTAGTGTAAGTAAAGTATTTCTTCAGAGAGAATGAAGGAAATGTCTTTAGCATGCCTTAAAAGGGAAACATAAAATGAGCTCTGAAATTCACTAGAGATTTATGAAAGAACTTTTTCTCCTTCAGTCTTTGGTTTGAGGCCAATTATGTCCTGTAATGCAGTCATTCATAAAATAGTGGGTCTTGAAATTACTCGCTACATGTCACCCACATGATGTTTTGCTGCTGTTACTATATTACTTAGAAGAGATCCTTATGCCATTTAGAAGACAGATTCTGTATTTTTAGCTTATACATGCAACTGTTACTGGTTTTGAACATTGCTAAAGTTATGTTGTATTTATGCTGCAATATAAATAGAAAGTTACAAAATCTACCCTTTTTTTTTTTAAACACAGCCAAATTTTTTCCTGCCACAGTATTGCTAAAATAAATTGATTTCTTTGCTGATTTTTTAGACTATAAAGAGTAAAAGCGATATTTAGCTATGATATCAAAGTGCAATGGCACAAATTCCATTTAAAAGTGAATCAAGATACCATATTAATTTCTAGCTCTGCTGCCTTAAATCAGACATTATATTGTGCTTTCCCTTTGATCTAGTTGAACCCTGCCCAGATAATTTCATTGCATTGTTTTCAAACTGAGGTAAGTCCCACATTTTGAAGAGTTAAGTCAGTTCTTCAGTAATCCAGGAATGAGCAGTATAGTATCTCTCTTCCCCAAGTTTTTGTGTGTTGAAATACAAGGAGGAGAATAAATGCTGGAATTGCTACCTTGATAAAATAGTTACAATAAACTGATTAGTTTTTACTTTAGTATAATAAAAATAGAAAAAAATAGGAGAGAAAGAATTGAAAGCTGCGAGTGGGTCTTTTTCATTGTGTGTTTCGAGCCTAAATTCTACAAATGTTCTTAGTCATGTTCTTACACCATTTAAAAATATATAAGAAAAAAATATTTTTTTTTTAGAGACTAGAAATGGTTTTTATTTATGCCATTCTGCTGTTTGCATAAGTGTCTTCTATATGTCCATTCATCCTTTTGATTTCCTATCCCAGTTACTCCAAGTCACTGATTTGTAGAACTGGCCTTGTGTACTTGCTTGTGTCTTATGTGCTGAGCCATTGCTTTCAGCAGGCTCTTCAGTTACTTAAAAATTACCATCCTCTTTGAAGGAGTGGCTTCAGCCAGAAGGACAGATAAGGTATGATATTGCTCGTAAGAGTCTTAGCAAGTTTTTAGAAGTCTGTCATCGTCTTTTCCCCGTTTCCTCTGGAACTTTTTAATCCGGAATGTAAGATTATTTGTAGTAATTTAGAACCAGCTGAACATTGCTTGCTTTGCTTGGGCAGGCTTCAAAAAGCATGGTTTTTAATCCCTGTCAGCTCAGTCTGTCAAAACCTTCCCTCCCTGTTTTTCCATGGTTTAGTCATTTCACTTTGTTTGATTCCATTTATCCCAGGCCAAGGTGATACTTGTCATTCCTTCCTTATGCCCACACCTTCAGATGGAGTGGGTGGTTGTAGTAGATTTCCCAGATGGCTGAACAGAAGAGGCTATTTCAGGTATTTTTCCTCAGAAACCTCAGTACCAGGATATGATGCTTTCACTGAAGGTGATGGGCCAGTGTCATCCAGGGAAAAGGCTTCTCTTGGGAGGTCTGGATTCTTCGCTGTACTCTACCCTACCCTGCTGTGCGGCTTTGGGTAGTTCATGAGTTACTTTACCTGTTTGTACCAGACTAGAATAAGCCTTGTCAGCTTTCTGGGTCTTCTGAGTGCTTTTGAAAACCAGACACTTATTTACTGCTAATAGTATTTCTCACATTAACTGGGTTAGCCTCCAGAAATCTTAGTTGTTATTTCTTACTCATGTTACCTGCACACTTGTTCTTGTATTTGTCATGTATCTGAAGGGTCCTTTGCTATTTGGAAGTTTAGATTTTCCAGTATGAAAATATCTTTTAATTTTCGGTTCTATTTTTTTCCCTTTTGGGACTTTGTGCTATATTTCTGCTCCCAAAGCACAAGTATTATTTAAGACTTTTTGTACTTAAGGCTGAATGTTAATAAGGTCATGAGATTATCCAGTTTGGCGCTTCTAAATTACTTAATTCCTTTTGTTCTGTGGTGTATTGCCATTCTGAAGTGTGACATAAGTTGGTATCCATGAAGAAAGACACTGTCCTCCACCTAAAAATACACTACTTAACAGGAGTTGTCTTCCTATATTACTTGTTTACAGTGATGATTCTGGATGAAAATAAGGAACCAGTGAAGGCGAAGACTTTGGGAAATATTGTGGTAAAGTAAGCAAACTAAGTATCTTACAGTTAAGAGATGTTTATATTTTTAAATATATATCTATAAAACAATAATTGAAGTAAAGAGGGTTGGAAAGCATGGCTGTCTCTGATATTGATTCCAAACTGCCAGAAATTTTTATGTCTGTTAACGTTGAAAAATTGCAGATGAAATTGTGTGAGTGAATGAGTGTGGATTGCTGGTTTTTTTCTTAGACTAACAGCGAAGTTTACCATTTTCTTAATTATGAGGCTGTTGGCACAGGATGAAGCCTTCCTGTTGTAATGTATAAGCAAGGTATTGAACGATTCTCCTGGTTGTTTTATCTTTCCATTTAGTGAAATAGTACAGCAGTGCAGACTGACGTGCTTTGGTTTATGGGTATGATGCTGCCTCCTCTTTCACTATCTCCTGATCCCGACTGATGCACATTCTTAGAGGGAGGATGTGTGTTTTCTGTTCTCCGTAGAAACAGCAAGATGTCTCTGCACGTGCTTTGCATGAAACAAACAGTGTTCAGTTGTGGTAGTACTTGGACAAATCATGTACAGGAAAAGACCCCAGCAAAAAAAAAAAAAAAAGAAAAAAACTCATGCTGTGCATCATGTAGGTGATTTTTAGTACCATTTACCAGACTCCTGTCAGATGAGTTGCATAAGCTGGAATATTCTTTCTGAAAGTAGTACACCTTTCTTAACACCTTTTCTTAGATAAAGGGGCCTCTGTTTAGATAACACCATGAACATCAGTTACATTTCTCTTATCTTACCTTCTCCTGTCTCACTGTTACCAGAACCTTTCCTTACATCTGTAAAGCTCTATAGGCTACTGCTCCCATGCCAGGTCTGGATTCTGGAAGTTTCACAGGCTTTTAGGCAAATGGCATTTTTCTCAGACCAATACCTCCTTTGTGATAAACATGTTAGCTGCAGTCTACAGCTCACAGTCTTCAGTCACAGAAGGTAATTCAGTTCTGAACACTTCCTAACTGCCAGCAAATACAAGTCCCAAAAGAAATGCATTTATCCACTTTTGTGGTAAAATTTAGGAGAGCTGTGGTTAACTCAGTCTTCACTGTTTGCTTAGATGAATGGAAGAAAATATAAAGAGTAGCATTAACCTTCAGTGAACTGAAGTTCTGTCAAAAGCCAAAGCATTGGGACAGATATACTGATTTTGATGAGCTGTTAGAGAAAGAAGTTAGCTGAGGATTGAGACAGTGACCACGTGAGCCAGAGATGAGACTCATAAGAGCTACAGGCACTGGAGCATGCTGCAGACATGCAGTGCTAAAAATGCGGGCTGGCTGGCTGCATAGTGCTTGCTTGGGAGTCAGAGTTGCTGAGGTGTGGAGGTTTTTTGCTCAGCTGTACTACTGATCTAATGTAAATAGACCACTGTGGAGGTTGAGGTATTATCACATTAAGTTATTGTACTTTGTGACACAGATGTGTGTTTTCAGGATGAAGTCTATACCCTGCCTAATTTTCAGCATCTTAGGCTAAGCCACCAGAACACACAGGCATGTGTTTAAGTGCACACACAATCTCCCTGAAGCAGCAGACTCATATTTAGGCATAGTTTTCCTGTGACACATGTAAGATTGTGGAGTCATTCCATTACCAAGTATGAATAATTAAAGTTACTCCAGCCTTTAATAGACTGTGGTTTGCAGTATCAGTAATCCAGGTCAGAGCGGAGGGCTGTCTTCTGAAGCTTTCACCTCTGTAGTGCCTGATGCCATAATAAAATGTAAGCTTGTAATCAGTGGAGAGAAAGAAAGGTATTTTGTAAGAAAATTGATCCTAGCTGTTTTAGGCATTCATCTAAGATGGAATAAATTGCCTACCAGATGTGCTCATGTCTCTTCACTGACTGCAGGGGCCACACAGCTAGGTTAGGGTGGGTGCTCAGTGTTACCTACCAAAAGCGAAGTCAAATGAACTCCAACTTTAGCAACTCTGCCAAACAAGCTGAATTATATATACTAAGAGGTACTGTTGGTAGATGTGTGCACACATTTCTGATTCATTACTATCTTTAAGTGTCTGTCAGGAGTGGATTTTGTCATATTAGAAGATTCTGCTTGGGGTTATTGTCAAACTCTTAAAGCCAGAATTTATCTTCCCTAGTGTGGCCTCACTTTTAGGCAGTTATCTTAAAGGATTTACAAATATGTTTATAGATGGATTTTTTTCATTGTTGTTTGTTTTGTTTTATCTTGATTTCTGCTGCAGTCGAATGAATTCATAGGGGAAGAGGGGGGATTTTTTTTTTTTTTGCATTGGGTCACTCAAGAAAGAGTAATGGCACAGAGACACTATTATTTTATCATGTCCGTATGTATTGTAATGTCTATTCTGAAATAGGGGGAGAGTAGGGGGCAAAGAAATGACATTATCATTAACATAGTCTATATGAAACCAATTCTGACGTAGGTTAACTATCACCCCTCTTTCTCTTTCAGCCTTTTTTTCTAACTTTCGAGACAATAGGATCTCTTAAAATTCATTCTGCAGCTTAACCAAAAAAGAAACCCCAACAAAACAAGGCAAAGGTATTGATGAGCTTTAGGAGGCCAATTGTGGATTCTTTAACACTTCCAACATTTCAATCTGTGGACTGTTAGCAAAGCTCAGATTTAGGATATTATGGCTTGCAATGTCTTAACATTTTGTTCCAGGTTTCATTCTGGTAAATGACAATTTGCTGCAGTGTTTATTTTATTTTTTTTTTTGTCATAAAAGTCTGTGGCTATTAGGTGAAGGCATCTTCTGCTTCATTCAGCTAAGAAGATATTTAGCTGTAAACTTTTTTCATTTTTTGATTAGGGCTAGTTTTCATAAAGCCCTCTTGCAAAGAAGCCTTTCCTCTCTTCATCTCTTCAGCAGGCTTCCACGTATACGGACCCCTTAAAAATAGTGGGGATGATCCTTGTTACTAGTAGTGTTTGTCACCCCAGGGACATGTCCCTGTGCAGCTAGGAGAAAATGGGGAAGTCAGAATAGTTTCAGCTGTTACTCTGCCATACACTCAGCAGCAAAATAGGGTGTACCATTTTAGAAAAAAACATAGGTGTTTGCTTTATCTGCAGCATACGTGAGTTGAGAAATATTCTTTGTTATTTCTTGGAGAGGAGAATGGCTGCACATTGTCTACAATACCAGCTGTGCAGAAGTGATATGCTGCTGGTGTTGGTTATTCTTGACCGTGTCTAACTCCCAGTAAAGAGTGTTGGGGGCTGCTTCAGGCCTGCAGTGCTTATAAGTATAGTATTTAAGATATCCTTGCAACAGAGTTTTAAACTTTAATTTTATTCTGCGGGAGTCAAATACTTTAGAAAGGTAATTCTTATACCTAATTACTCAATCGTTATGCCCCAAGTATGTTCTTTCCTTTACTCATCTGATGACTGATACCTTGGGTTTTTTCACATAACCATCATCTGTGTCCTTTGGAAAGATTTTTGCTGACTCTTATACAGGCTAATTTACCTGGACAATGCAATAATCTTTTTGACTTCATGAGTCTTTCAGGATAAAGTAATCAAATGCAATGTCACAATATTTATAATGAAAGGGCAAGAGAAAATGAAGATGACTGCAGCTCATGAGGGTGGGCTTATATGAATTGTTTCTAAATTTCCTTTTTTTTTTTTTTGAGCTAAAATCTTTGGACATGAAAGATAATTAACCAAGGATTTATTTTGAAGTGAAAATGCTAGCAGCAATGACCTCCATTTTCATTAGCAAGACCAGTCTGATTTAGTGACACACTTCTGCTTGCATTGTTCTGACCTGCCTGTAATTAATACATACTTGAAAATGCATGTGTGTAATCATGATTAGCCATGAGAATTTTCAAAATTGTCAGTCCTCATAAGGAACATTAGCAAAGAGAAATCCCATTTAAATTCCATTGCAGTGGGAAACTCAGTTTTGCTCTTGTACTTTTTGAAGAAAGACCACAAGCCTGTTATGTTTATTTTATGAAGCAGTTGTCAGCACCATCTCATCAGCTAGGATTACTCTTTATGTTCACTCACAGCAGTAGGAGGACTACTGCATTTGACATATACTCATTCTATCTGGAGAGTAATGCCTGCCAGTAAATTTCCTGGTAGATCCTAGTTACGTTTCCTCTGGCATTTGTGGGAGGTTTAGGGGATAAGTATTTACAAATTTGTTTTACCCATCTCCACTGCACAGAATCACATAAATATTTCTGTTCTGTATTCAGAAAGAAGTGAGACAATGTAGTTACATCGTACAGTGATTCTGAAATGCTTTGGTTGCACTGGTTAAGTTGCTTTTAATAATAGTGACTGTGTGAGAGGCTCTGCAGACCATTAATGTTGTGGGGGTTTTTTAATGAATTTGGGATTAGTGGAGGAAGAGAAAGAAAAATTATAAGGTTCTGTCAATAGTTAAAATGATTCAAATGGTGACCCACTCCATTATATAGAATAAAATCATGCAAAACTTTATGTACAGTGCTGTAAGAGTGTAAAGTATTGAAAACCAATATTTAATCACGAGATTTTATAAAGAAAGGGTCATGATAAATTTACAGCTTTTTGTGATTTTAGATTTTAAGTTAGCTGAATAGAAATGTGACAGGACTTTTCAAGCAAATACCATAATGTTAATATCCTTTAGTGGAAGAGATGTTGTTCAGAAGTAAGCAACGCATTCACAGTTTCACTGTTTGTGGTTCAGTGTTCAATCTTTATGCAGTATTTGGAGAGCAAATAGGTGTTCAATAAAAAGCTTACTCATTTAATATTTCTTATAATGCATTAAAAAATGAATAAATTGGTATGTATGTGAAAGTCTGAAGCACCCAGAAGCCAGGAATGTCATTGTTAAGATGCACAATAGAAATGCTAACCAAAAGAGCTTGAAGGGAAGAAAAGTGGGAAAAAAAAAAAAAAAAAAAAAAAAGAAGATGCAGTCTGTTGCAGCACACAGTAGTACCTCAGTATCCAGTTAAAGAAAATAAAGAA